TGTGTGTGTGTGTGTGTGTGTGTGTGTGTGTGTGTGTGTGTGTGTGTATTCTCAAGCACCTGTGTGCGCATGGTCTATAACTCAGCTGTGTCCCAGCCCTGGGCTTCTATTTTGTTTTCCTGTCCAAGTTTTATCATCTTCTTGACCTACATAGTTGAAGGCACTCTTAACCCCATCCTATTTTAGACGAAGCCCCATGAATACTTTTAAGCATTTGACAACTTCATTGTGGTTTTAAACCTGGTGAACCAAATTCTGGGCCTGTGTTATCTTCAAATTATGCAGTCCAGGCCTCTCATGGGAAACCAACAGATATAGGAAATGTCCTGGACCCCACTGAAAGCTTCAGCCCACAGATCCCTGTCTCTGGTTCCCACCTCTAGATTCCATATGTATGCCCTGGATGCCTGTGCATTTCTGTCATGGTTGGAATCCTCTCACCAATGCACACCCTTGTTCAGTGTGGGCCGTAGACATTTCCACAAACCAGGCCTATTGCTCAGGCGTATAATCTTAGCGCTGGGGAGATGGAGGCAGGAGAATCAAGAGTTCAAGGTCATCCATGGATACACAGCGAATTTGAGGCCGCCATAGGCTGTATGAGCCCACTAAAAACCAACAATGGTGATTTCAATGAGAGGCTCACCTCGACTCAGATGTTTGAATACTTGTTCTTCAGTTGGTGGAACTGTTTGTTCAGAAAGAATTAGAAAGTGTGGTCTTGCTGGAGGCAGAGTTTCAGTGCAGGGAAGCTTGAGGCTTCAAAAGTCCCCATCCCTTCCAGTTAGCTTTCTGCTTGGTACTTGTTGATGAAGATGTGGGCTCTTAGCTACTGCCCCAGTATCATGTCTGCCCTCAGGCCTGCCTGCTGCCATGCTCCCCGCTATGATGTCATGGACTCAGCCTCTGAAATTATAAGCCCCACATGAACCTTCTTTAAATTGCCTTGGCCATGGTGTCATATCACAGCCACAGAAAAGTAACTAAGACACAAACCAGACGAACGCTGTCAGCGTAGGAACCTGCAGCTCAGAGCTGGTTGGATGGCTCAGCAGGTAAGAGCACTTGCTGTGGAAATTGGAGGACTTTTTATTCCCAGAGCCCCTGCTTGAAGGAGAGAACCAGCTTCTGAAATCTGTCCATTTATCTCCACACTACCCACACATATACAATAATAATAAGTTAAAAAAAAAAAGGAACCTGTAGCTTGGCAGAGACTAGGGTAGGAAACAGAGATTCTTGTCTTAAAAGTATGCAGATAAAAAAACAAGTATGCAGATATGCTGAGCATGGTGGTACATGCTTTTAATCCCAGGCAGAGGAAGGCAGACCTCTGTGAGTTCGAGGCCAGCCTGATCTACATAGTGAGTTTTAGGACAGCCAGAGCTACATAAAGAGACCCTGTTTCAAAACACTATGTTCTACACACACACCACACACACACCACTGGGAAAAAAGATCAAAAGTTCAGAGTCACTCTCCTCTTGTCCAGCCTGGATGCAGGAGACCCCCGCTCCAAAAAGACAAACCACACATACAAAAAGAAAGAGTATAAAGGGATGACTTCAAACTCTAACTTGCTATGTACTGCACTCTGCACATAAGAGTTTAAGCAGC